TACTGTACTATCAAGGGGCCACTGTATATTTTTAGAGAGAACTAATGTAAACCTCGGGTCTATTAGAACTGTTTACTTGGGATTCATATTGCTTCCTACTTCTAGAAAGAACTGTCTATGATTTTAGTGCTTAAAAAATATTAAACACGACTATTGAAAAAAAAAAAAACAGCAAAGTCCACATAAAAGGGACCCAGGGTATGATTGTGGTGGTCACAGGGCTGCATTTGAGTATGAAATTAGCCTTTGAGTTGTGACTTGCGGAGAGGAGTTCAAACTTGATTGAGCATCAGGGGCGCCCGAAGGGCTTGTGAACACAGACTGCTGTACGCACCCCACAGTTATAGATTCAGTAGTTCGGGGGTGGGGCCTGAGAATTTGCATTTCTAACAAATTAGCAGATGACACTGACTGCTCATCTGGGGACCACACTTGGAGACCCACCACCCCTCTAACACCTCTGGATAATGTTTTGGGCTGTTGATAAATATGGGAGGAAACAGCATGGTGTGGTAGAAATTGAGCAAGATTTAAAAATGCAGAATGTTTTCCTTGAGCTCAGCACCAGCTAAAAACTTTAGCATTTAATATGTGATTGAATCATTGTATTGTATGGATGAAGAAACAGAGGCCATGGCCACTGTTTAGCAACATTCATTCAACAAATACTTATTAAACATTACTCCATGCCAAAACTGCAGGTTGCTGGGAGCTACAACAGTGAGCTACACAGACATGGCACCCACCCATACTGGGACCTCAGACAAGACAATTTCTTCTCCCTTTTTGGGGGCCTGACCTGTCCCCTTAAGTTGATGCCTCCTCTTTTGTGGTTGAAAGAGAGAGAGAGAGAGAAGAAAAAGATTGTTTTAATAAATAAAATACTATGAAAGATAGCAACAGGCTGGGGTCCTAATTGGGCAGACACTTGAATCAGACTGGGTTTTGCCATGACTTCCCTGTTATAAGGCGCACGTATTCCCAGGATCATCCAGTTGATATTCCCGAAAAGTAGCTGCTGGTAAAGTGCAGATCCTAGAAGCCAGTAACCCATTTTCACTGTTCCCCATTCCTTCCCTTCCCTGGGGATTTATTGAAAAAAGCCATCAAACTTAATGAGGTACCAATTTTAATGTGTCTTTATTTTCTTTTTTCCAATTTTTCTTCTTCGGGGAGTAAGCCATGAAGATGTTTAGAAGTTTTGTCCACACAATGCCATACTACTTAATTTAAAAAAACAAAAAAAGCTCTCTCTCCATGTGTTTTTCAAATATTCAGATAGTTAACTTTTTATAAACAGGCTTATCTGGATACATAAGTTAATTTTTTCATTTTTTGCATGTTTTATGCTAGAAATCCTTAAGTAGGAAGAGTATTTAATTGGAGGCTATTAGACTTAAAACTTTACAGAAATTTTCAAAACTTATG